TTTAACTAGAATGTAATGTTCCCCTTGTTGTTATGAAACGCATTTAGGTACAAATTTCAACTTAATTTGCAACATTCCTTTATGCCTATGGTATATGCCAATTTGAATAGCGTTGGCCAAGTTTATCTTAACAGTTTATCTTCCAATATAACTGAAATTTGAAACTAAATAACAAAATCAATGAAGTTGAATATTAGCATTACATTACACCATCCTGCTCTGCCCTGCCCTGACCCTCCCAAGGCTTAACTCCACCTCCACCATGTATGTAGTCTAAATTTCATGAAATATAAAAAGAAAAAGAAAGTTGGGGGGCGAGCAATAATTAGGTTTTCTGGGTGACTGAATTGGTGTTTTAGTCTTTATTTTTAAGTGACTGAAGATATCTATTTTCTTAGTCTCCTGAATAAATTGAACCGTCAAAATCATTGATTTGGGGATAATATATCTCTATTCATCATTCTCTTTGTAGGCTGAACAAGAAACTGATGAGGTTTATGCACAAATAGCTTTGCTTCCTGAAGCAGATGTAAGCTCCACCATTTTTTTACTTCTTTGAGTTATTGGAATGGAAAATATTGGATTTTACTTGCTTTTATATTAGTCAACTGAAATTTACTTAATGCTACCTGTAGCAAACTGAGCCAACAACACCAGATTTGTGTCCTCCTCAGCCTCCAAGACCTAAGTTTCACTCATTTTCCAAGGTTTTAACTGCTTCTGATACAAGCACCCATGGAGGTTTTTCAGTTCTCCGTAAGCATGCCACTGAATGCCTTCCCCCACTGGTACTGATTTTAAAGTTGCATTATGCCTTTAGCTCCTTTTTTCATCTACATGAAAACCAACTTTATTCAACGTATTCCATATCTGCCTGATCTTCTTCAGGACATGAACCAGCCGACCCCAATGCAGGAATTGATTGCCAAAGATCTTCATGGCTATGAGTGGCGCTTCAAGCATATTTTCAGAGGTAATAAATAATGTCTGCCTTGTTTGTCCTGTTCGTGTGATGTTTCTGAAGAAATGCAGTACCTTTTATCCTTTTTACTCTGGGTGGCTGTCTAGTTCATAATGGGACTGGACATGCTGCTTGAGAAACCTATTAAATCAGTATGTTTAATTTGGAGAGGATTAAATGGGCAGGTCAACCACGGAGGCACTTGCTTACAACAGGATGGAGTACTTTTGTCACTTCAAAGAGACTAGTTGCTGGTGATTCCTTTGTATTCCTGAGGTTAGTGTTTTCAAATCTGTTGTAGCAAGTGATAGCACCCGTACTTTTTTATGTTGAGCTTTAATTTGTTAATAAATTGGTTACGCAGGGGGGAAAATGGGGAGTTGCGTGTTGGAGTTAGGCATGTTGCTCACCCGCAAAGTAGTATGCCATCATCAGTGATTTCAAGTCAGAGCATGCACCTGGGAGTGCTTGCAACTGCATCTCATGCTATTGCAACCCAAACCCTCTTGGTCGTCTATTACAAACCAAGGTATGTTTTTATACAGGTTCAGTAGTATGAGGAGAACATGTCTTTCTTTTCTTATATTTGTCTTGCTTGTAAATTATCAGGACGAGTCAGTTCATCATCAGTGTGAATAAATATCTAGAGGCTGCCAACAATAAGTTTGTAGTAGGCATGAGGTTCAAGATGAGGTTTGAGGGAGAGGATTCTCCTGTGACAAGGTAATTGAAAAAATGTCATAGTTGTGTAATGTGGTGGTTGTTTGAGTTGCCAACATGATGCTTATTTAACAAACTTGGTTGGTCAGGTTTTCAGGCACCATTATCGGGGTTGATGACTTTTCTCCTCACTGGAAAGATTCAAAATGGCGATCATTAAAAGTAAATTTCTTCCCGCTTGCTTTCTTCCACTCTGTTCTAAATTTATTGTTCTGGTATTGATATTTTTATGTTTGTGCTTAGGTTCAATGGGATGAGCCTGCATCTATCCCAAGACCTGACAAGGTTTCACCATGGGAGATAGAACCCTTTGCGGCTCCCACACCACCAAATCTGGCACCACCAGATGCAGTGAAAAACAAAAGGCCTCGACTAACCACAGAAATTCCTGCCCTAGGTAATAGAAAACTTCCTGATTCATTGCTTCTCTGGTACAGATTGAGTTCATTAAATCTAATTCTTTGAACCCTAAATTTAGCTTCAGCTGCATCTGCTCCT